GGGGGAAATGGGATGAGGTAAAATCACTCTCCGCGACACCACACTCAACGGCTTGTTTCAAGTGCAGCAAGGAGGGGCCTGAGCTGCAGAGTACCATTCAAAAACTCCCATTTGAAAACCCGACCAAACCAGTGGGAGGCAACCTGGGAAGACCCCACAGCGACCCAAAAAGACTGCCATTAAGAGTGCTTGAGATCGTCAAGGACCAAACCCCTGGAATCCCTGGGGAAGGAACTCCGGCTCCAGCTGGAAAACCACCTGAATCCTCTGACAGCGACTCTGAATTTGAACCCCTGGTAAGTGGACCCACCATGCCCCTCACCAGAATCATAGAACTGTTGAGTCCAGGGATGCTGAGCTAGGTAACCCTGAATGTTCTAGTGGACTCGGGTTGCACCCATTGCCTCATAAGCCCAACCTTGGTGGGGAACCTAGAAATCCCAGTGAGGAGGCTGAGGAAGCCAATATCATTTGGCCAATTAGATGGGTCCATTGCAGGGGGGATCCCAGCCACACTCGCCACCCAGCCAATCCAATTCACGATGGGGATCACAAAGAGACTTTGACTTTTATTGTGACTCTAGGCATGGAGTGGCCCCTAATCTTGAGGATGACATGGTTGAGGAAGTGGAATCCAAGGATGGACTGGAAGACTGGAGAGTTGAGATTCCCAAAGCAAAAGCACACCACCCGGGGTGGAGGCCGAACAACAAAGAGAAAAGGAAACCCCAATATAGTAGCAATGGCAAAAGATTGCGGGTTGGAAGCAATACCCGAGGAATATCGGGATTTAGCTGAGGTGTTTAGTGAAGAGCTGTCTGACAAACTGCCCCATCGGCCCACAGACTGTGCCATTGAAATTCTACTGGGGGCCAAATTACCTAAGCCCAAAATGTACTCGATGACCCAAGAACTAGAAGAACTGCAGAAGTTCACAGAAAAAAATATAGTGCAAGGTTTCATACAGCCAGCAAGACCAAAAACAGCGGCTCCGGTTTTATTTCAGGAAAAGAAAGATGGGTCTCTTCGCCTCTGTGTGGATTACAGGTCTTTAAATGCAGTGAGCGAAACAATATCTACCCCCTGCCACTAATGAAGGATATGCTGGTCCATTTAGCAAAAGGGAAAATATTCTCAAAATTAGACATAAGGGAAGCATATTACCAAGTTAGGATTAAAGAAGATTAAAGATTAAAGATTAATAGAAGACAGCATTTAACTGCCCCATGGGCTGCTTCCAGTTTAGGATGCTCCCATTCAGACTGCAGGGAGTGCCAGCAGTCTTCATGCAACTAATTAATGAGATCCTCCAGGAGCACCTCTACAAGGGGGTTCTTGTGTACCTGGATGACATCTTAATTTTCACCAAAACAAGGGAGGAACACATAAAGCTGGTCAGGGCGGTACTGAATAAATTGTGGGCTGCTCGACTTTACGCCAAGCTGTCAAAGTGTGAATTCCATAAAGAAAAAAATGACTTAGGGTACCACATATCTCATAATGGGATAGAAATGGATCCAGAAAAAGTCAGGGCAGTACTGGAATGGGCACCGCCACACACAAGGAAACAGTTGTAAAGTTTCCTGGAGTTCACTAATTTCTACCATCAGTTCATCCCTTCTTTTGCACAAATCGCGCTTCCCATTACAAACTTGCTAAAAATGAGAGGGGGGGGGGCAAACCAAAACCCAGCCAACCATTAAAATGGACTATGGAATGTCAAGCCACATTCGAAAAGCTGAAAAGACTTCTTGCAGTCCTGAAACAGACACAGAGAAGCCTTTTGTCATACAAGCACATGCTAGCGATGTAGTGGCAGGTGCAGTACTGTTCCAAAAAAATCAAGGGGGCCAACTGTAGCCCTGTGCTTATACATCCAGAAAACTCACAGAGACAGAACAGAGGTGGGCAGTATGGGAGAAGGAAGCCTATGCAGTACACTGGGCCCTCCTCACATGGAGGCATTTCCTGGAAGAAAGTAAAATCTCCTTCTAGGTATAGACTGACCACAAGAACCTTGAAGCCTTAAAAAAAAAACCAAAAAACTGTCACCAAAACAAGCTAGGTGGTCTCAACACTTCCACCAGTTTAACTTTATTATCAAATACCTGCCTGGGGGAAAAAATTCTTAGCAGATGCTTTGTCAAGGTTGGCACAGTATAACAGTACCAAAACAGAAGTGGTGAATCCCCTCATGCCATCTAAGAAATTAGCGGCTTCAGTAACCACACACTTGCAAGCAAAGAAATCGAAACCCCTGTATAGAGAAGCAGGAGTGGAGTTCAGACAGGCTCTGAAAACAGATGAATGGTTCCTGAGCCATAAAAACCTCTACTCGATAGATGATGGACTGCCTTGGGTGGGTGGGGGGAACTATATGTGCCCAAAGCTCAGAGACTAAAATTTATGCAACTATGTCATGACTCAAAAATGATTAGACATTTTGCATTTGTAAAAACACTCCATCTGGTAAAAAGACAGTTTTGATGGCCATCCATAAAGAAGGACATTGAAAACTATGTTGCTAGTTGCCTCATCTGTGCAGTGGCAAAACGAAGACAGGGTAGAACATGGACTATTGCAGGCAGTAGCAAGCCCATCAGCACCTTGGCAGGAGATTTCCATGGATTTTATCGTGATCAGACAGTCATTTGGGTGGTGACTGACCTGTTCTCCAAACAGGTGCATTTCATTCCATGCATCAAGATTCCCACGGCCAAGACTCTAGCAAAGATGTGCAACATATCTACCAATTACATGGGGCTCCACAACGCATAATTTCAGACGGGGGTTGCAATTCACATCAGAGTTCTGGAGAGCATTTTTGGACCTTCTGGGGACCTCAACTCATGTGACAGATGATCTCACCTAACGGCTTCATAACATAATATCTTCATGTAGATCCTTAACAGAATAACAGAGTTGGAAGGGACTTTGGAGGTCTTCAAGTCTAACCCTCTGCTCAAGCAGGAGACCCTATACCCGTGGTGGCAAACCTATTGCACGTGTGCCACAGGTGGCACACAGAGCCCTCTCTCTGGGCACGCGCGCTGTCACCCCAGTCCTAGGCCTTCAGCTGGGTTTTATAAAACTTTTTCACTTTAGGCCTCCGCTGTGTGCCAAAAAAAGAGGGTTCAATCAATCAGTCAATTTCAACTTCTTGCGGGGAAAAAAAAGATCTCGCAAAGTTGGAATTGATTGAACTTTTTAGTCCCATCCAATCTGCCGTTACCACTGCAGCCATGCCCACCCAATGGGCCACACCCACCCAATGGGCCATGCCCACCCCACACCCGACGATACATAAGTGGGTTTTGGGTTGCAGTTTGGACATTCGGTCTCTAAAAGGTTCGCCATCACTGCTCTATACCATTTCAGACAAGTGGCTCTCCAGTCTCTTTTTGGACCCTCCATAACTTCTGAAGGCAAAACATTTCACTAGTTTATTGTTCTCACTGTCAGAAAATTTCTCCTTAGTTCTAGGTTGCTAGCCTCTTGAATTAGTTTCTATCCATTGCTTCTTGTCTTGCCTTCTGGTGCTGTGCAAAATTAGTTGACCCCCACTTCTTTGTGGCAGCCCCTCAAATATTGGAACTTTGCTACATATCATCCCTACTCCTTTTCACTAGACTACACATACCTAATTCCTGCCATCATTCTTCGTATGTTTTATCCTCCAGCCCCTTAATCATCTTGGTTGCTCTTCTCTGCACTCTTTTCAGAGTCTCAACCTTTTGTATTGTGACCAAAATTGGATGCAGTATTGTGGTCTTACCAAAGCCTTATAAAACGGTACTAACACTTCACATGATTTTGATTCTATTCCTGTTAATGCAGTCTAGGATTATACTTGCTTTTTCAGCTGCAGCAGCACACTACTGGCTCATATTTAGGTGACTGTCCAGTGACCCTCTCATAGTTACTGCTATTGAGCCAAGTTTCACCTAATCTGTACTTGTACATTTGGTTTTTCCTACCTCAGTGTAAAACCTTACTTTTCTCTGCATTGAATTTCATTTTGTTACATAGGACCCAGTGTTCAAGTCTGTTGAGATCCATTTGGATCCTGAGCCTATCATCTAGGGTATTGGCTATTTCTACCAGCTTGTTGTTGTCTGCAAATTTGATGAGTTCCCTCATCTAAATCAATTATGAAGATGTTGAAGAGTACTGGGCCTAAAATGGAACCTTGGGGTACAGTGCATACTTCCCTCCATATAGATGTAGTTCCATGAAGAACTACACATCAAGTGTGGTTTATCAACCAGCTATGAATCCATCTGGTGGTAATGCTGTCTATCCTATCCTACTTTTCTAGATTACCAAGAAGTAGGTTGTGGTCTACTTTGTTAAATGCCTAACTGAAATCCAAGTATATTTATGTCCACAGCATTTCACTGGTCCATTAATTTTATTTGTTAAAAAGGGAGCGAATACCAAGTCCTGCGGCACCCCACAAAATAATTGCCTGCTTCTCCCACAGTGGTGATGTCTGAAGCAGAACCAGGTGCTGTGGAGGGGCTCTTCCACAGACAAAGCAGTGCTGACTCTTCATTATGTTGGCCTACACTTTTCCATTAGCAACTGAGAGCCTTAGTATATATCAAGAGGGCTCATCTCCTTTCTGAATTCAGATATTTGATTCAATCATCTTAACAAGAACCAAATCTCTAAATTGGAATTAAACCATTAAAATGCCTGAACAGAATGTACTCTTGTCATTTCTTCCAAATAATACGAATCTAACAATGGGCTAGTTTCAATCCTACTCCCGCATAATGAAGTATGGCTGCATTTATGCAATCACTTTAATTGGGTGGAAGAAACTTGTGCGATAAATGTCAGGAGAGGAATCTGAATTCTTTCTCCAGGCCTCAGTGCCCTACCTAATTAACCGTGTTGCATGGTTTCACGGGCTTCTAGGTCTACTTTATTTGCTTAGTTTTCAAAGCACTTTGCATCCTGAACCTTATTTCTTACACAGAGAAGGTGCAGTTTTAAGAAGAATCTGAACTTCGGTGCCTGACAGAAGGAGTGGAGACGAGCGACCCCTAACGCCCAACCGCAGCTGCACTTTCCCAAGTGAGCACCTTACCCGGCAGGACAAAGGCGACGTCTGACATAACCCGGAAATCTCTTACCTAGCTGAATGGTTTTCCTAGAGCGGAAGTCGGAATTCCTTTCTGCGCATGTCTACTTCTGCTCTCTGCTTCTCGGATGCGGATTCTGTGGACGCTGCCTCACTCGGTTCCGGAAAAGAGAATTCTGGGGAAGGGGATGCGCGACCCGGGAGGAGGAGGAAGACCGCCACCTTGCTATTCTCGCCATGGAGGTGGAAGAGGCCTTCTCTCTGGTGGGCCAGATGGGCCCCTTCCAGGTGTGGCTTTGCGTCTTGCTGGCCGCGCTGCTCCAGGTGAGAGAGACTCCTGGGGGGGGGGCATCTCTTGTCGCGAGGAGTGGGGTGCTCGCATGACCCATCAGGGAAGAGCCGCTTTAGTCCTGGGCAGGTCGCGGTTCGCCGCGCAGGGCGATTTACTTCGGGAAAGAGCGTTTTATGATGTCCTGGTTGGTGTGAGGTTCCCGCCCTCTTGTGTCGGCTGAACATATGTAGGGAATTTTAAGGGGCGATTAAGAGAGCAAGATGGTGGTTAAAAGGCATGCTGTCTATTTTAAGTAAATAATAATAATAATAATAATAATAATAATAATAATAATAATAATAATAATAATAATAATAATAATAATAATAATAATAATACATTCAGAATGTAGAGGCAAACCAGGGGGAGTTGGCAGTGAAAGAATCCAGTAGAGATATACAACTGTTCTCATTTGGAAACCAGGCACCTCTTCCTCAGGAAGAACAAAACCCTCTAACTAAAGAAATAAAAGAATTGAAACAAAGAATAATTGAGCATCTAGAACAGCACAAAAACAACAGAATAAGGCTGCCTGCATTGAAGCTTGTTCCAAAGAAACAGCTAGCACAAGCATTAAAAGATGCAAATACTGCAATAGCAAGTATAAGCACCAATTCACTGCAAGAAACAAACCAATTAATGTACAGCACAGCTGCAGTTATAACAGAATACCTGGGATGTAAAATCAACAAAAAAGAAAAACAAACAAACAGTGCACCACAAAAATGGAAGGTTAGACTAGAAAATAAGATCAGCAAGTTAAGATCACATGCAAGCAAGCTAGAACAGATGAAAGAAAAGAAGCTGAAGAACAAGAAGACCAAAGAATACCTAATCAAGAAATACCACTTAGAAACAAGGAAGATCAAGGAAGCACTGGAAATAATAAAGCAACAAATAACAGCTATAGCCAGGAAAATCAGTAGATATGAAGCTCGAATTGCAAACTATAGGCAGAACCTCCAATTTCAATCCAATCAGAAACGTTTCTACCAATCCATCAATGGAGAAACTGCAAGGAATCAGTCAGTACCTGACAAGGAAGAAACAGTGCAATTCTGGAAGCAGATATGGGATAACCCAAAGAAATACAACAAGGATGCAGCTTGGTTAAAAGAGGTGGATGCAAATAAAACAGAAGTTGAAATGAAAGAACTAGTAATAACAACAAAAATGGTAGAAAAAAGAGCAAAGAAAATCAAAAATTGGTCAGCACCAGGTGAAGATGAACTGCATGGGTTTTGGTTGAAACATCTAACTGTTATACACCCACTCATTGCCAAGCAGTTCAACAATATACTACAAGGAGGAGAAATTGAAAAGTGGCTAACAACTGGGAAAACCTACCTAATAATGAAAAATCCAGCAAAAGGGGCAACACCAGGTAACTACAGGCCAATTACCTGCTTACCAACAACTTTCAAATTACTAACTGGTGTGGTAGCTGATGCAGTACAACAGCATCTAGTTGAAAACAATCTCTTTCCACCTGAGCAGAAAGGAAACCGCCCCAATAGCAGAGGAACAAAAGATCAACTCCTAATAGACAAAATGATCTTGGAAAACTGCAAGAGAAGGAAGACCAACCTGAATGTGGCATGGATTGACTACAAAAAGGCATTTGACTCTCTGCCACATGATTGGATAATCAAGTGCCTAGAAATAACAGGAGTAAGTAGAAACATCAGAAAATTTGTGCAAAAATCGATGGCACAATGGAAGACACAGTTGCAGATCAATGGTGAGAAGCTGGGAGAGGTTAATATCAAGAGAGGAATATTTCAAGGAGATTCATTATCACCATTACTATTTGTTATTGCACTGTTTCCTCTGTCAACAATACTGAATAACTCAGGACATGGCTATCAAACATCAAAAACATCTGCTAGACTATCCCATCTCCTTTACATGGATGATCTGAAGCTGTATGGAAAAACATCATCTGAAATAGAATCGCTGCTCAACACTGTCCGTATATATAGCCAAGATATTGTAATGGAGTTTGGCTTGGACAAATGTGCCACACTTACTATCAAACAAGGAAAAATAGTGAAAACTGAAGGAATCAAGATGCCCCACGAAAATAACATTAAGAGTCTGGATGAGGAAGAGTACTACAAATACTTGGGTATCCTTCAAGCTGACAACATCAAGCACACTGAAGTCAAGAAAAAGATTAGAGGTGAATACATCAAGAGAGTGAAGAAGATCTTAAAGTCCAAACTCAATGGAGGAAATACCATAAAGGCAATCAACACCTGGGCAATCCCAGTCATTAGGTACACAGCTGGAATAGTGGACTGGACTCAAGCAGAACTAAAAGCAATGGATAGGCAGACCAGAAAAATAATGACAATGAATCATGCCCTTCATCCACGCAGTGACATTGATAGACTTTATCTACCAAGGCAAATAGGTGGGCGTGGAATGCTACAAGTACATCAGATGGTTGAAGAAGAAAAAATGGCTTTGGAAGAATATCTGAAGAACAATGATGAAGATGCACTGAAATTAGTATATCAGGAAGGCTTACTAACTACTGGAGAGACCAAACTGGCCTACAAGAAAGACCAAATGAAGAACAAAATAGAGGCATGGGAAGACAAAGCACTACATGGCCAATACATTAAAAAAATAGCTGGGAAAGCAGATAATAATAAAACCTGGCAATGGCTAAGAGCAGGAAAATTGAAGAAAGAGACCGAGGGACTAATTCTGGCTGCACAAGACCAAGCCTTAAGGACAAATGCATACAAAGTCAAAATTGAGAAGACAGCAACAGACAGTAAGTGCCGCCTATGCAAAGAAGCTGAAGAAACAGTGGACCACTTGGTAAGCTGTTGCAAGAAGATTGCACAGACTGATTACAAGCAGCGGCATGACAAAGTAGCAACAATGGTGCATTGGAAGATCTGCAAAAAATATCATTTGCCTGTAAGCAAAAACTGGTGGGATCATAAAATAGAGAAAGTCATAGAAAATGATAAAATTAAACTGCTCTGGGACTTCAGAATTCAAACAGACAAGCACCTGCAACATAACACCCCAGACTTAACAATTGTCGATAAGAAAGACAAAAAAGTCTGGATAGTGGACGTGGCAGTGCCTGGAGACAGCAGAATAGAAGAGAAAGAACTGGAGAAGATAACAAAATACAAAGACCTACAAATAGAAATAGAAAGACTGTGGCAAAAGCAAGCAAGGGTAGTACCAATAGTCATAGGCTCCTTGGGTGCAATCCCAAAACAACTGGAGCACCACTTGAACACCATTGGCATTGACAAATTTGCTATTAGTCAATTGCAAAAGGCGGCCTTATTAGGAACTGCTTCCATCCTGCGACGATACCTGTAATACCATCAAACATCCACATCTGCCTATCCCAGGTCCTGGGTAAGGACTCGATAGGTAGACAAAATGCCAAATCCAGTCTGAACATCTGGCTGACTGTGCGATGATTGATAATAATAATAAAGTTGGAAGGGACCTTGGAAGTTATCTAGTCCAACCCCCTGCTCAGGCAGGAAACCCTATACCATTTCAGACAAATGGCTGTCCAGTCTCTTCTTAAAAACTTCCAGTGTTGGAGCATTCACCACTTTGGAGGCAGGTTGTTCCACTGGTTAATTGTTCTAACTGTCAGGAAGTTTCTCCTTAGTTCTAGGTTGCTTCTCTCCTTGATTAGTTTCCACCCGTTGCTTCTTGTCCTGCCTTCAGGCGCTTTGGAAAATAGCTTGACTCCTTCTTTGTGGCAGTCCCTGAGATATTGGAATACTGCTAGCATGTCCCCCCTTGTCCTTCTCTTCATTAAACTAGACATACCCAATTCCAGCAGCCTGAGATGCCTAGCCCTGTTATCTATAAACTGCGAGAAGACTTTAGGCAGGCTACACGAGTTTACAAATTGGGGTGAAATGTAGATTTTATGTCTTAAGGCAGGTGATCAGCTTTTCTACTTTGAAGCTGGCAAATTTGTTGGCAACTGCCAGACTCATTACCAAGTCCACTACCTTTTGGATTTTCAGTTCAGAACTGAGGATGGGAGCCAAGGATTTTCAATAAGACGGTTTGTTCTAGCTATGATTTTAGTTTGGGTTTGGTTTGGCCTCTTGGCCCAAGTAAATGCTATGGGATTCTAGAAGTATATATTTTACTATTTTTCTTTTAATTTATCAGACCTAATTTGTTAGGGAAGATGTCCTACCTAGGAGGATCGTTTGATCTGAGTATCAGGTATAGATATAATAGTTGGAAACATCTGTTTGGACTGCATCTTTCTAATGGCAAAGGACATGACTGAAAATATTAATATTCATATTTTGTGTGCAAATCATTGAAGGATGTTTGAGATGTAGATGGTTTAAAATATATGAGTCATTTGTTGGTTAACATAGCGTGTTTATTGAATAAAGATTTTTCAGCTATACATTGCATCTATCAATTCACTGTATATTTTTTTATAGAAGTCTGAATTATCAGTTTTTTCTATTTCACTCAAGCTGAGAAGCTATAATTAAAGAGAGGCTTCCTTGTTTGGTCAGATTTTATAACGATTTTATAGGCAGGCAAAGACTCAGTCATATCTTAGTGTGGACAAGTTGTGACTGAAGTATTCAAAGAATTCAATTTGCTAGTATTTGAAGTCCAGTATAATCCAAGAGGTAAAAAAAAGGTTACTCTTTTGGCTTTTAAGCAATTTGTTATGTGGAATTTATTTAGTTACTTAGTATCCTGTCTTTATTAAAACTCACTTTTTACAAACCTGCAATCCTGTAATTTCGGGTAGAATCGGGATAACTGGATGGATCTGAGCGTTTACTTGCCGGATGCCCTTCCTGACGCCATGTGAAGTTTGTAGCAGATATTTTTTTTCTTTGCACCCTAAGTGAAAAACATCTGCCGCTACCTAGGCTTGAACTCTCAACCTTCCAAGTGGGAGGTGAGCATCTTTAGCACTAGGCCACCATGCTGCTTGTATCCTACCTTTATTATGTTTACAGATAACTCAAGGTAGTGAACATATCCAGCACACCATCCTCCTCCTATTTCCCCACAACAACAACACTGTGAGATGGGGTTGGGCTGAGAGAGAGTGATTGGTCCAAAGTCACCCAGCTGGCTTTCATAGTCTTCCCCTTTCAAGCCTGGTGCTTTAACCACTAAACCAAACTGGGTCTCCAATATCTGAATTCTTTGAATGTTGTCTGTTTATCTGGCACTGATCTTGATGCTGTTTTTTTCTTGTTTCAGCTCTATGTAGCCAGTGAAGCGGTCCTCATTGCACTAGTAGGAGCAATACCACCTTATCACTGGGATCTTGAAGGAATACTAGCTAATCATAGCCATAGTAATGACACAACTATTGAAGAAAACAACTTTAGAAAGTGGCTTCTAACAGCCAATTGGAGTGACCTTCATAAATACGTACATTTTAACAGCAATTTTACTTCAATAGCCTCTGAGGTATGAAGCATAATAATTTCTGTGGAAAGGCTGAATATTATAACTTTAGTATTAGAACCTGGAAGTCATAAGCACCAATGTTAAGCTTTTGGACAAAATAAAAACAAAAACAGTAATATGAACCTTGTTTCAGAGGCAACTAAAATGTCTCATAGTAGTGACTGAGTTGTTGATAGAAACTTAGTGAAGGGTGGAAGAAAGACCATCTGAAAAAGCCTTTATTTTCCAGTAATCATCATCACCAGTGAGGAGAGGAAAATCCTTAGCCATACATTGTCTAAGCCAAAAAGAACTTTTCCTATTGTCTTCACTGTCCCTTCTGGAGAGTTTCAGTTGTCATGTTCAGGAACCTCTTGCCTTCCTTGATGCATTTCAATGTAGCAATTGTTTTCTCAAATCCCTTTGTTTTCTCCTCCAATAAAAAATCAACATTCATTTGCACCAAATGCTGTTTGCGTGTTCCTCAGGCAAGAAGACCAATGTCATACACATTTTGACAGTCATGATGTTTTCCTAATTCATGTTACTTGGACCCTTCCTTGCTGTCTTTTATAAGCACACTTCCATGCAGATCTTTCCTGTTTGCATTCTATAGTTATGAGCTCCCAAAAGTTGCCTCTCTGGGTGAGTAATAATCTGAGTCGAAAGAAAATAAGAAATATGAAAAAAATGCCTTCCCCTTGATCTCCAGTGCCAGATTCCAATTTGTTCTTTCTGCTTAATCACTTGCCAACTCTCATTGGAGGTGTGACTCCAAAGACACTGACTCTTAGCACTGATGATTTGACCACAGTGGAGCAGCAAGATATACATTTTTAAAAATTTATTCTGTGCCTCCTCTTTGTTTACACCTCTGCCTGTTCTGCCTATCTAAATGATGCTAATTTCAAATAATTTCCTTCTGCCTTTGTACCCCCCCAACACAGAATGCTCTTAGACACTCTTTCTGATAGGATGTTGCTAGGTACTAGATTTTGCCTATCCCTGTAATGCATTTCCAGTAAATATATATTGCTTCTGTTATAGTTATAACATCTGTTTCACTAATTATTGTTCAAGCCAGATAACAGCTGTCAGGAACGTTCTCTTGCAAATGTAGAATCTCCAGCATATCCTATGTCTGCTGCAAGTGAAAATGGGAAGCCCCCAGCTACTGCCTCTCCACAGCCTGCTCTGCCCACCACTGCCATCCTCGGCCTTTTTGGCCTGGAGCTCAGCGCAGCAGCAGCAGCAGGAGATATGAAAGTGGGATGCCCCCAACCACCAGTCTGCGCTCTCTTGCTCACTCACCCATCCACAGCAAGTTGTCCCCATGGCAAGTTAGCTGTGTGGAATTGTCCTGTGCTGTCTTGGCAGCGATCTGGTGGTGGTGAACTGGCCGCAGTGAGTTGTCCTAGATTCACTCTAAAAGTCAGCCATTAAGTTGGATGTCAGTCTCTTGGTATCAGAGCAGAAATAGTATTCCCTCATTGATATAAGAATCATAGTACTCCAAGATTTCTACTGAACAGCTTTGAACAGCAAAGTTGAATTGTTATTATTTTGCAGAAGTACATAAAAGTAGTTCGATAGCAAATGAATAGTTTTTGATGAATGAATTTAGCTTGAAAAGGCCTTGACAAATAGAAAGTATAGGAAAACATAAATAAATGCAATTGTAAAGGTTCACTGAAAAACATCAACTCCTATTCTCTTTTATGGAGAGTTTGTTCATTTAACTTGATGGTTTCCTGGATTATCTGATTATTTATAGTCAATTCTAAAAAATTGAAAAGACTGCCCTAAAATCTAGGAAAGTTAACCCTCAACCTAAAAGGCAATCATGTTTTTTGTCAATCTCTTTTTCTAGAAAGATTGAAAGAGTTAAGTTATTTCAGTGACTACTTGTCATGGCTGCCTCTCTCCTATCCAAGCTTCATGAGCTGATAACCTGGCCTTAGCAAGGAGTGGGGGGAGACAGTTTGAGTGGAATGGTTGGCATTACTGTTCTTGTCAGTCTCCAAGTCTACTCAGATCTCTTTGGAAATCAATTTGTGTTAGGCGTTGTGTAGCCATATTCTAGATAGCCCTGCCTGTAATTTCAATAGTTGTAATGGCAGTGGTTAGCTTATTTTCCAGGGGATCTGATAGCCAATACAATTTTAAACATGTATTAAGCATTCTTTCTGAAACTTTAAGAAGAACTTTTAGGATTTTCCCCAGCCCTGGAGCTTCATTTGAATCTGACCCTATAGAGTTTGAAGGTCAGTGTTTAAAAGGATATTGCTGTCTTATTGACTCTGTGGTTGAGCATAAGAATGCAAGTGAGGATATTGAATGAAACTTGATGTGATAAACAATTCAAATCCTTTTCAGTTTGCATCAGGAATGTCAACCTGCTCTTTTCTATTGTTTTTAGATACCCATCTGCCAAATAGAATAGCTGAAAGATGGAAGATTAGTTTTGAATATGGTTTAGTTTTCCTCTTGTTGAAAGATATAGTACTTCTGATAAGTTCCATTAGATTCTGCCTAACATTCTCTTTTCTGTCCATAGTGGCTTTTAATTGGCAATACTTCATATAAGATCAGTGTTGCCAGTTCATGTTTCTTTGGTGGTGTGTTTGTTGGAGTAATTACTTTTGGACAACTATCAGATCATTTTGGGAGGAAAAAAGTCTTTCTCATAGGTAAGTTGTGTTAGAATTTAATAGAAAATGTTAGTCTTCTCTGTTTAATATTTGGAAAATATGACCAAGAAAGCTGAGTAAATCCTCAGGTAGCCAAATTTAATCTGCTTTTTTCAAAGGAGATCCCCTTGTTGAGGGATTTACTATTCTTTATTCCAGTCCTTAAGGTACCTTCTTGCAGATGGAAGGGAAGGGACTTTTCTCTGATATGTGTGTTTGTGGAAGAAACAATGTATAGCAATTGAGAGTTCCTTTGGTTGACTATTCCCTCCAATGGATGATAACTAATTTCTCGAACCATCACAGAAAAACAGTTGCTGCCTCAGAACTAGAAAGCCGCATGGGAATATCCTACTGAGTAATGTACCTAGAAATACCTACATCTAGAAATGAGGTATCCTAGTGGACCACACTTTAGTATGAACCAGCAGTGTTCTACGGCTACCAAAAAAGCAAATGCAGTCCCAGGCTGCATCAACAGAGGAATAGCATGAAGATCACGAGACATGATAGTATTTCTCTATGCTGTACTAGTATAGCCACACTTGGAATACTATGTCCAGTTCTGGTCACCATACTATAAAAAAGATGCTGAGACCTTAAAAAGAATGCAAAGAAGAGCAACTATGATAATAGGGGATCTGCAGGATAAATTGTACAAGGAATGGTTAAGACAAATAGGTATGTCCAGCCTAGTGAAGAGAAGAATTAGGGGTGACATGACAGCTATTTTCCTGTACATGAGGAGCTGTCACAGAGAAGTGGGGGGTCGACTTATTCTCCAAAGTGCCTGAGGGCAGAACAAGAAGCAACAGATGGAAGCTTGTTAAAGAGAGATCCAATCTGCGACTAAGGAGAAACATCCTTACAGAACAATTAACCAATGGAACATCTTGTCTCCCAGAGTGGATGCACCATCCCTGGAAGTCTTCAAGAAAAGATTGAACAGCCATTTATTTAGGATGATATAAGATTTCCTGCAATGGGTTGAAGTTGAAGATCTCCAACATCCCTTCCAGCCCTGTGATTTTATAAATATTGTTACTCAAGAGTACCCAGATCAGATCAAATGAGGTGATTTCCAATATGTAGAAATGGAAATCACTACAGATAATCCTTGGTTTATGACCATTCAAAAGTATGGTGACTCTGAACAAAGAGATTTATGATTGGTCCCTGAAACTATGACTTTGCAGCACTCCATTGTTCAGATGATCAACATTCAGCCACTTGGCAGCCTGTCCACACTTATAACTGCAGAAGTGCTACAACTTTCCCCACCTGCTTATCTTCACATCTACACCTTTTTGGTCACCTTGCACAGTGGCACTCCTTGGCATCAGTGGTAGGGTTGGGCCTGAAGTCGAGACCTGGGTCCTTTACCAGTCTTGTCCAGCTGCCCCCAGACCTCTATTACAATCCCATTGCCACCACTGCCACTGAGAAATGCTGCCTGAAGCCCCACACTGTAAGCAGCCATCTCAACTCCACCAGCATGGTTCTATAGCTGTTGTCATCCTGCATAGCAGGGTGCAGGGCGTCCAAAAGGACAGAGATGGGGGCAATAGACAGTTGGAGACTGTTGAAGGGGAATCGGTCTCTTACCTTAGAAAAAACAAGGCTTTTGTCTGGGAGGAACCTAGCCCGAGATGACTTTGATTGGGATGGGTCCTCACCTAATAACTAGTAGAATTTGTTTAACAACAACAACAAGGAGTGCTGGGATTGCTGTTGCTATGTGATGTGGTCACGTGATTTCACATTTTACAACTGCATTAGCAACAGATATTACAATCCCAATTGTGGTAAATTCTTCTTTTTCCACAAAATGTGTCTTGTGAATTTTCTTAAAAGTTAATCTGAAACAATATACTTTCATTCAGAACTGAGATTAGTAAATAGTGCCTACTATTTTTGAGTAACTCAGTGCATTTTAATGAAATACCAAAGGATTTTGTTTTATAAGTGTGCTTGATTTTGGGGGAAAAACCCAATAAAACCAGCATTAAACACTATCGAATAATTCTAAAGGATTTTTTTTTCTTTCTCTTCTAGGTTTTGGCCTTGACATTCTATTTGCTGTTGCTAATGGATTTTCTCCTACGTATGAGTTTTTTGCAGTCTCTCGTTTCTTGGTAGGAGTAATGAATGGTGGAATGTCACTGGTTGCTTTTGTCCTGTTGAATGAATGTTTGGGAACTGCTTTTTGGGCATTGGCAGGTACAGATTTAATGGTTAGATCTTTCAGATTTACTCTTTAGCAAATACTCAAGATAATTCAGTAGTACTTAAAAGCTACTTCACATATTAAAAAATTAGAAAGTAGTTTGTCTATGCATGTATAATGTTAATTTCATAATGTTTAATCATGATGTTTGATTCTGTGCTGATGAATATCCTCACCCAGAACCTTCATATAAATGTTAAATAAGAGCTGGGATAGAGTTTGAGCCTGTGGTACTCTCCAAAGCAGAGGCCTATGACTGGAACTTTGTCCTCCTCCTACACTGACGAATCCACCTCCAAAAAAAGAACCACTGGAGAACCATGATCCCCTGCTCCCTGCCCCCTGCATTGATCCAACTACCATGGTCAATGCTATTGAAAGCCACTGAGGTATCAGGATGCCCGGAATGGTTACATTCCCCCACTCAGGGTCTTCCAGAGGTTATCCATGAAGGTGTCCCATGCCATCTTAGTTCTTATCTTGATGTGATATCTGACTGCAGTGGTTCCCAATAATTCCCTTTCTCCAGAAACCTTAGGTCTGCAAATATACCACTTTCTCAGCAATCTTCCCCAAAAAGGAAAGTTGGAGACTGGATGCAAATTGTTTGGTATTGTATTGCTGGGCCCAGGAAGGACCTGGGCGAGATATAATTAGCTTTGGCTTCTCTCAGTCCACAAATAGCTGACTTGTCCCCTTACTATCTAGTGGAGTTTGTTTTTGAATAGATTTTCTCTTCAGATGGTCTTATTATTCTTTAATCCTGCTTGTAAAAGGTTTCAATATAGTCTTTCTGTTTGCCTTTGTTATAGATGTGTGATCTTATATTCATACCTTAGTTGTAAGTTTTTTCATTGATTTTTCTGATCTTAAAAATGTATTTCATTTTCCATATTTTACTCTATTTCTTGAAGTTCTTGATTGAGAGCTCTTTCCATTTCCTTTCCTGCTGAACACTCTGTGTCTACAGAGTCTTGCTGTATTGTTCTTGTTGCCCAAATCCTTTATTCTCTTGCCAATGAGGGCGATCCTTCTAGAAGCTTATATTTCTGCCACCATTACTTTCATTAGAGAGCTCCCTCACTATGTCAAGGTGGTATTGCCCTGTGAGATGTATATTGTCCGCCTAATTGTGCCATTTAGTAAGAGCCATTTTGGCAGCTCTAGTTATGGTCATTAAATGAGGTGCATGTGGGTCATTAAGCAAGGATTTCATGTGATCCCAGCTTCCCTATTGGCTTTGCTTGTGGTAAGCCAATAGGGAAGATTGCAAATTGCAATCACATAATTGTGGCGTGCTGTGTTTGCTGTCATAAATTTGAACAATTATTGAACCTGTAGTCATTATACAAGGACCACATGTAACATCTGCATGTAATAAATACGATTCTACCCATCACTATAGCAGATTTGCCAAAGTGATATTTGGGAATGGCATATTTGGTTTAAACTAAATGTAGTAAAGTTCTGTGATTGTGGACCTTTCTGTTTTTATTTCCTCTGAATGTGCATGTTCCTTCCCATCTCTTGGACTTGTTTCTGCTTCTGTCTTAACTTGTATCCACTGCTGTTCCTATTGCATTTTTCACACCTGTCTTTATTCTCTTTTTGATCTTAATATTTGATCTTCGCTTTAAGCTATCTGCTCCAGCTCTTTTCTTAATTGTCTTGCATTTTCTTTCTTCCTCCCGTCTCCTAGTATTTTGATCCTAGTAGCCTGAGCCCTGCTTTTTTGAAGGATCCCATATGACCTCAGTTCATAATAAATGTTTATGGCAATGGATTTGGAAAAATCAGATAAGGTTTTTATTTTATTTATTTTGAGATTGTGTTTTATTTATTTCTTGAGAAATGGGTCTTCTTTGTTTTTTTCCATTTTTTAAATTCTCGTTATGTAGAAGTCCACCTTTTTGCCCTTAATATGGCAGTCTAATTTTAGTGTGGCAAAATTTTATCTTGAGAACATTTTGAAACATAGTCCTGAAGCTGGAGTATCTACTAAGAATATACTGTATACTAGAAGAATAGAAGAATAGAATAGAGCTGGAAGAGACCTTGGACATCTTTTAGTCCAGCCCCCCACTCAAGCTGGAGAACCTATACCAGGGGTAGGTAACCTTGGCTCTTTTATGACTTGTAGACTTCAACTCCCAGAATTCCTGAGCCAGCATAGCCAAGGTTGCCTACCCCTGACCTATACCATCTCAGACAAGTGATTGTCCAGTATACAGTAATAAATACTTAGAAGTGACTACATTTATGTTTCTCCTAAATATATTTTATAATGTAGTTCTTTGACTATTTTAAATTAAAATAATTTAATTTTTTAAAAATAAAATATGTTAATGATGTTACATGAAGTCTGCAAAAAAGCTATAATATATACATTTACTTTTCTAATAGATTTATCTTAAATCCTATGTGTTCCCTCCTAATTCTTATTTCTGAAGAGAGATTTGAATGTTCAGAATATGTCAGGCATCATTTGGTATAAAATTGTAATTGTACCCACTCATTTCTATCTGATAATGGCATTTTTTTCTTAATTCTTGAGTACAAAAGCAAATTTTATAATCATATGTTTATCTTATTTAATTAGTTCATTCTGGTTGCCTATGCCAACATATTTGTGAATACTATAATTTACATAATAATTTGCTACTAAGATACTAATATCTACATAATAAGTTGCTTGAATTTTTGAATTTTGAAAATTCAAATTTTAAATTTTAAAAAATTACCAAAAATATTTGTACAATATTGTTCCCCTTCCTGATAGGTGGGCCCTCAGTGCAGCTAGCTGCTTCCATTCTGATTGAATAACAAGTGTTTTGTTGCTTGGTGAGGGGAAAAAAGAGGATCAGTGCTTGTTTGTTTCTATCTCTGTTGAAACAGATATGGAAAAGACAGAAAATAGAGTGAATTGGGCCAAAAGCATGTAAGGAATGGATGAGGAACAGGAGGTCAGGATCATGACAGGAAAGTGGTGGGATTGAAAATGTGGGTAAGAATGGAGTTGGAGCCATGAGGAATTTAGATACAGAGAGATTGAAGAAGAAAAGTTTTCTGACTAAGTTGCTTGCGTACTGTATACAGACGGGTTGGGGATGAAACATCTCTCTCAAAATTAGAGATTTGGGAGAGAGTTGAATTACTTTAATTTACCAACACAGTAAAGAGAGATTTGAAACTGACTTGACTGGTGTACCTTCTATGGATTGAAAATTCTATTGGAGCTAAAGGTAATTCAAAGGAAAACTGTTCTGCTTTGGAAATCACACCTCCTTTTTGAATCAAGGTCACTTTCCTGGCAAATTGTTTTTTAAGTTTGTCTATTGTGGGGTGCAAAAATAGGTTTTCTGAATTAAGCTCTGATTTTTATTCTAAGTCATGTTTCCTGTGTCAGTAATTGCATAGAATTAAGAGAGTGATACCAAGCTGGGGGGAATAGCCAATACTTTAGAAGATAGGCTCAAGACCCAAAAGGACATTGATAGACTTGAACATTGGGCCCCATCCAGTAAGATGCAGTTCAGTGGTGAGAAAAGTAAGGTCCTGCACTTAGGCAGGAAAAACCAAATACATAGGTATAGAATAGGCCAGAGGTAGCCAATTAATTTTCCCAAGAGGCTACATGAGAAATTGGGACTGTTGTGGAGGGCTGAACAAATAGGGCTATGTGTGCGTAGGCGCACACAGTCATGTACATATGTAAATTGAAAAAAAATAGTCTCCAAAATAAAAGCAATGTAGTTGTATTGTGTGCATGGTGTATACTTATTTACATTTGATTTCTAATTTTCAATTGACTTATAGTATGCAGTCTGGACAGGGACAGCCAAAGAGCTGTATGTGGCCCGGGAGACACAAAACAGAATGGGACAACTTGCCACAGCCAACTTGTCACGGCCAACTCGCCATGGCCAATTCACTTCAGCCAACTCACCATGGCCAGCTTGCACCGTGGGACAACTCGCCACAGGACAATTCAACAATTCAATTTAACTATTTAAATAAAAAATTATTTAAATTTTTGTCATTCATATTTCATTCTGTCCCTCCTTTTGCATCCTTTCTTTAATTCTATTCTACCATTTCTTTGATATCGGTGTAACTCTTGTCCTGAAGCGAATTGTCCCATGGTGAGTTATCCTACAGTGAGTTGTCCGTGGTGAGTTAGCTGTGACAAGTTGGCTGCGGTGAATTATTATAGGCCCTGTTAAAAATCCCAGGTCTGAAATAGGTGGCACCTGGCTCAATATAAGTGACTGTGAGAGGGATCTAGATGTCCTAATAGACAATCACTTAAGTATGAGCTAGCAGTGTGTTGTGGGTGCCAAAAAAGCCAATGCAATCCTAGGCTGCATCAAAAGAGGGATACTTTCAAGACATTGAGAAGTGATAGTATCACTCTACATTGCACTGGTGGGACCACACTTGAAATACTGCATCCAGTTCTGGTCACCATGATACAAAACAAAATGTTTCCACCTGGGAAAGTGTGCAGAGAAGAGCAACAAATGACAAAGGGTCTGGTGGCTAAATTGTATGATAAACAGTTGAGGGAGCTAGGTATGTCTATTGAAGAGAAAGATTGGTGCAAGGGGGACATGATAGCTGTCTTCCAATACTTGCAGGGTTGTCACAAAGAAGAGGGGATTAAATTATTCTCTGGGGCACCAGAGGACAGGACAAGAAGTACTGAGTGGAAACTTGTTAAAGAAAAATCCAACCTAGAAGTAAGGAGAAATTTTCTGACAATGAAAGCAATTCATGAGTGGAATAGCTTGCCTCCTGGGATTGTAGTTTTTCCATTACTGAAGGTTTTCAAAAATAGACTGGATTACCATTTGGCTGGGATGGTATAAGGCTACTGCACTGAGCAGGAGGCTGGACTAGAAGACCTCTGAGGTCCCTTCCAGCCCTATGATGCTGTGAATTGTTGGCGTTCAGGATACCCTTCTTGATGCCCTTCAGGTTGTCCTTTGAACTTAAAGTGACCCTGAGAAAGGGAACAGAAGCCAGATAACAAAGTGAAAAAATATCGGGACAGGAAGTGAAAAAGGGTTACTTTTATCATAGTGAAGGAATGTAGATCAGGGTGAAAGGAAGATGAAGGTGCTAATCTCAAATACTGGATTTGGGTGATTATTGCTAATATAAAAGCTAGAGGCTTTCCCTGTCTATCCAAATGTCTAGTCCAAATGTCTAGTCAGTACAGTAGTCTACTGTTGATGCAGCTTTGCTGTCTCCTATAATCCAGTTTACAGTCTTGGTCTAGTTGGCTAGAAGCCCAGTGTTCACTAGTTTGGGATTTTAAGAAAGAAACTTTGTATTAGATCTCAACTGCTTTGGTTTATATTATGGTGAATAATTCTAAGGTGACCAACTTTTTTACAGTGAAAAGGAGGACACAAATAAATTGAAGAAAAAAAATATCGTACATAAAAGAAACATTTTATTCATTGCAACAATAATACAGAATACACTATAATATGATAAATGCAGAGTGGTCCCTGCGGCTTCCAAAGCACTAGCCATGCTGGTTCCGGCCTGGGGAGGAAGCCCACCATCAACACACCCCACCTGCAGCCGCCCTGCCAGCACCACCGCCCACCCTGCATAGTCCTGTGTAGAGCGGGGGCTCCCACAGCACGGGAGGGGGCAGCCAGCCACCCCCGCCCCTCACACTCCCGCCCGCAGCAGCCCCGCTGCCCCTGCCTCTTGTGCCTGCAGCCATTATTGCCCTATCAGGGCCAAAGGTCAAGAGAAACTTAACGTGGCGTCGCCGCTCCAATCTCCTCCAAGTATCTTCGGTACTAACTAGGAGATGGTGTAGTTGGGTAGCAGGCATGGGTGCAAAGTTCCTGCCAATTCGCCTTCGCTGCAGACAACTTGCATGTGCAAAGTTTGCCGGTCACGCTCAGGAGCAATTTGGCGCGCTCAGCAGCAATTCCTATTGGCTTTCGAAAGCCAATAGGGGGAGTAGCACAGCTCATGCAAAAGTTGAAAAAAACCCATCAAAAAAAAGTGTCGGAATGCCATTCTGAGCATTCTATGAGAAAAAAAAAAAGTCCTGCAGATTAGTCTTCAAATATCGAAAAGGAGGACATGTTGGAGGACACTTTTTGAGGGAGGACAGAACTTAAAAAAGGAGGACTGTTCTCCCTAAAGGAAGACGGTTGGTCACCTTGATAATTCTCCCTACCCTGACAATATGTTAGTGTCTATGACAAGCATTTTGAATGTTGGAATATGCCTATAACAGCCTTTTTGGATGGCATCTACCATTTTTCAGAGTTTTGAATGTTCTTTATCTCTGCATATTTGTTCACATAGTCTTCTCTGCCTGTGTATTAAATCATCACTTTAGAAGTCACTACAAAATCATCAATAACACTTTTTGCCTATCTGCATTATAATAGGATCACTCGGTTGCCTCTTCTTTGCTGTGGGAATTGCACAATATGCTTTGTTAGGATATCTCATTCGCTCCTGGAGATTATTAGCAGTGGTGGTTAACCTGGAGGGAGCTCTAGTCTTTCTCCTTTGTCTGTAAGTTATATACCTACATTATTTTGCTAAAATATGGATAGCATTTGTTACTGAATAAAAAAAATAGCTGTTTGTCTTCCTTTCAGCCTCTTCCATCCTAATTTCTCTATACTTGAAAATAATTTTGGCTCTTCTCTTGGTATTTATCTTCTAAATTTCTTTGACTTAATATTCTCCTTTTAAGTAGTTTCCACTGTTATACCTAAAGTGTACTGTCTTGAATCTAGAAACAAGAGTCAAGAGGTGATTATCTGTACCATTTGCAACACTGCTACTTTTGACACTGACTAGGGCGAGCCTGTCTTCACAGCTTCTTGTGTTGAAACTACTCTTTTTTTGTTGTTGTTATATCAAGTTTGGTTCATGCAAGTTAGTTTCTGTCTCCAGATTTTATAAGATATCAGCTGTAGATAACCTGTAGTAGGAGTCTGAAGCCTTAAGATATAATGCAGAATGGAGGTCACTTAACTACCATTCAAAGTTACAACAGACTCCCCGCAAACTACATACCCCATTTCAAAGTTGTGGAAGCTGAAGCACCCCCAAAGTCATTTGCCCTTAACCAACCACACGGTTTTTGCAGTGCCACCTATCCACTCTCCCCTCTATCCCCCATAGGCCTCGTGCCTGCTTCCGATCCATCTCTACTACTGATCATGCCACTCCACCCCCCAGTATCCCTGGGCCACTTGGCTTTGTCCCAGAAGCAGATGCCATTTTCTGAGCAACCACAATTAAACAGCAACCTCATCTCCCAGCAAGTGGCTTTCCTACTGTGGCAGTGCTTGTCCCAGCCTTTGCCTGTCCCCCACTCCACTGCCTGGGTCTAGGTCTTACCTATCTGCGGTTGCCTGGGATTTCAAAAGAAAGATAAAAATTCACCAAAATCTTAAGTGGGGGGAGGACTTTAAAGAAGGGAAGGAGAAAGGCTTCCTTTGAAGCATGTGCGCACACACAAATACATCTCAAACACGTCTTGCAATAACTGAAGGAAGGCGTGTGTGTTAGTCTCTGTTTGTGTGTTGCCTGCCCCCAAAGATTCTAAACAGGTTCAAGCCTGTTTAGTACTTGGATGGGAGACTGGAAATACCTGAATCTAAGACAGCTTTGGAAGTTTAAGGAAAATAACTTCCGAGAAAAAGGCTGTAGTGAACTGCTTGTATATTGCTGCCAAGAAAATTTTATGGATGTGTCAGTGAAGTCACCAAAAGCTGAGTTTAGCTTTTTCTCACTATGCTAAATTACTCCGAAAACCTCAAAATATTTGTTCTGTTTGTTTGTTTTTCAAAGCTCAGTCCAAAGAAAAACTTATGCTTGTTTGAAAGCATCAGCCCACATTCCTCTTTCATGCTTAAAGTAATGAAAGGATAAAATGTAAACTTTTGAATTAAAACTAGTAGTTTATTTAAGCAATTTGCATTCAGAAGAAAGAAATTAATTTCTTCTTATTCCAAGTTTAAATTTATAAAAGCCCCTGATATCAGAATGGAAACTTTATTGGGAGAATTGTATTTCATATACTTGTTGTTTAATCTTTAATCTGTCTGAACTTCAAATTGCTTAGATATGGAAATGAAATAAAGAAAAAGGGACAGTTCTGATTAAGAATAGTTAAATTTATGAACAACCATTTCTATCTATATTGTTGAAATACGTTTTTTGAACTGAGCATCAACATTTGTATGCCGCCCTTTCTCACAATTATAGATGGCTTACAGTGAACAAAATAAATTTTATGACTAAAATTTACAACTATTAATAGAGCTACTAATAAAACTGATCTCCCATCAGGCAGATCTGAATACTCCCCTGAAGATTGTGCTACATCCATGGTTTTGATTATATTTGAGCAAGCTGTGACAATATTCAATGTTTCTGTCTTCTTGCTTTCATATTGCCTGAAATTTTCAAAATTTGGATTTCCATGTTAAACATATCTCTTTAAATGTTTTAAAACAGTTGCATGTTGGAGTTCAAGTGCTACATATTTGCAAACTTGTTCTCATTTATTCATAAGATCATGCTTATTTTTAGCTTAATATATGTGCATTGTCAACCTTGGGACAAACTGAACTGAAGCCATTTTTCATTTTGTCTTTGTTGCCACAATTTAGTGTAGAGATTTTAGATGAAGGAGGGGGAGGGGGGATGTTAAGTTTCTCAGCCATAACAATACTTCTGTGTGAGAATCAAGGTCAGTCCTGATAAGAGTTTTGGCAGGCTGAAAAGCTGGGAGGAGAGCCCGTGTTTTGAAATAATTGGTGAATGTGATTTATGACAGCAATTTGGGGTGGGAATTGCAACCTGTTACTTTGTAGCCTGAGGGAGGGGATTTCAGTCTTGGGTTTACCTATGTAAGTGCCAGTACTTTGTTTTCCTAAATAAAATGTATCTTTAAGGAAGAAATCTTTGCCTTGAAGTTCTTTTAAATCAGTGGTTCTCAACCTGTGAGTCGGGACCCCATTTGGGGTCAAATGACCATTTCACGGGGGTCACCAAACCATGCTGTCTGCCATTTTTTTCCCTTTTCCCTAGCTGTCCTACTCCCTCTTATTGGTGGCCACACCCACTTGGGGGTCACCACAACATGGGGAACTGTATTATGGGGTCACGGCATTAGAAAGGTTGAGAATCACTGTTTTAAATGGTTTCATCTATCGGAACCATAACATGCATAATATGTGCACCAGCATGAAGTTTTTAGTAGTATAATATCCCTAATGCTCTTAATGAATGGTTATTTTCTTCTAGATTCATTCCTGAATCACCTCGTTGGTTATATTCACAAGGTCGACTCCATGAAGCTGAAGATTCTCTCTACCTCATTGCAAAGAGAAACTACAAGCCCAAGTGCACTTTTTCACTTAAACTTCCAACTGCATGGATCTGTAAGCAGTCTTGTAGTATTATGGATCTGTTCCGATATAAGATCCTTTTGGGACGTACTCTGGTCATGCTATTCATCTGGTATATATGCTACTTTTTGAAAATTTATCTTGGAAGTGCTGCTTTCTGTTATTGAAATATGCCATAAAATAGTTATGTAGTGCTTTGGGGGCTGTTGTAATTTATTGTTTTTTATTGTCTCTGAAGTTCTTAGTTTGAAATCATTTATTTAAGAAAAGGGTTGTGGCAAAACTGAGTGGATTTGGAATACAATGTAGACAATACTAAAGATGATAATTTATTGTGAACATATTTTTGTTTTAGCCATGTTGCCATGAAAAACATTGAAGTGTAAGAAGGCTAATTAAATTGTAATTCATCCTAATTTGCTATTTCTTGTTATGTATAAGATTGGTAAACTTTTCAAACATATCAGTTCTTTTTAATTCTTAATTACAATACCTCATCCCCTTCTAATCAGCTGGAAATTACTGCTAAATTTGATCATTTTTGTTACTGAATTTCATCAGTATGATTTTGGGGTCATGTTATGCTTTGAGTGGAGATGGAGATAAGGATTTGCCTCCTAAAACCTTTACATTTCTATTCCTAAACTTAAATCTACCCCCAGAGCCAATCCTTAACATACATGTTCAAGATAGGGTAGGTATATAAAGTCAAATTGATTTGAGTGTGCATAAGATGTAGTTCTTAGTGCCGCAACACAGAGCCATTTCAAATATTGACAGAGAAGGCTCTGATGAATTGAAAATGACAAATATGATGGTATGTTATGCTACACGCATACACTGAAATTCTGAAAAGTTATATAAAATACTGTGAAACAGTTACTTTCTGCCATTTTACCTTGCCGTTGCTAACAGGTAACCATAATGCTAGCATTAGTACCTAACCACCTAATATTAGTACCTAATATTGTAGTTAGTTAGCCAAACTTTATTTTGTTCAAAGATCAGTATAGAACAAAATAGTTCCAAACTGTTAAAAGCAAAATAGGAGGACCAAACCCAAAACACAACCCAAAAGAATAGTAGAGAATATAATTGTTGCTATTGTTACCACTAACTCTCAAGGACCAAAAAAACCCCGGAATATTATTTGTCTAAAACTAAGACATAAAGCCAAAAATCCAACCTAGAAGTATATTAAAAGAAAACAGAATAAAGTGACATTTATCTACATATACTTGATGATGATGAAGAAAAAGACGATGATGATGGTGTCCATTCAGTCATGTCCGACTCTTGACAATTCTTATTAGTATTGTTCAAAGGTTAGGCACAAGTCAGGCCTTGAGCTTGCTTCCCACCACACTTGGCCCCACACCCTCCTCTCCATTCCTGATCACCCGTAGTGGGTGATCTCGGAGATTTCCAAAACTCCAGACTCATGGAATTGTGGCTGCTCTGAAAATGGCTGTCTCAAGATGCAGCTGGATTACTTAGGGATGAAGTTAGAGAACATAGAGAACACACTCTATGCCATGCTGCAGAAAGCTCCAGAGTCGGGCAGCTATGCCCCTTGCCTCTCCTGATATTACATTGTGCGTCTACTTAACAATCCCATAATTCATTTGTTAAAACACTCTATCAAACTTTACCTGGTAAATTTAATGACTAGATGATCTATAAATGAAACCAAAATTACTTATTTTGTCTTTATTATCTGCCAAGTGCACTTCTGAATGTAATTCACTCTTAAAATCTGAAACTTTAGTATTCATAGCACATATTTTGGGGCTTGTGATTTTGGAAATATAATATGTTATGAGGGCTGTGAGCTGAAGATTCCTGAGATAATTTGCATGTGATTTTTATTTATGAATAAAAAACTAAAACAAACATTAAAATATAAAAAAGCTAAATATATGCTATAATTTGAAGCAATCATCAGAAAATACACCAAAAGAAACCAGGAGCTTAGTTAAAAACAAGTGCCTTAAACAATTGACAAAAGAAGTCACATTATTGTATAAAGAAAATTGAAAAGCTATTCTGTTTTCAGTGAAACAAAACTTGAAAAATATATTACATGTTTTATTGGAACAAACTTCTTCATAGAAAAAATGCTGTTCCAGCTAGTCTCTCAAGCATTAAAAATATCTATCAGATGATGTAAGGAAGAGATAATGTAAGGGAAATAATTTTCTTCTCAAAATCATGCCAAGTGAGGTAAGGTACTGATTCTGGTACCTATCCAGAGAGTACCTTTTTCCAAAGAAGATAAAAAAAATGCCAAAGAAAATTTGTTATATGTAAGTTGTGCATACTTTGCAGGACTGTTAACTTTCCTCTGTCTACTGTTTATGAGGTGTCACCCAAGGATCATGGCCTGTGAGCTTTATCATTGCATCCCTTCCACAAAGACTATGCCTTGAATTAGCATTCCAGAACATAATAACCCTATTATATTACTTCATGCACTGATTATATCTGTGTAAAATTGGAGAAGCAGTACCGGTAGTTTTTAAAGCTATATTTCAGTATATGATTTGACACTAAGTTACTTACGGACTGCTCTTCTTCATAGCGATGGTACTGTAGGAGATGACCAGGCTGAGGCAAAGGGAGGTGTCAAACATGTCATCAGTCATAAGTCCCTGCGTGCCCACAAGGACTTATGAATTCCTTTCTATTCTTAATGCCCGCGAATTTCCCTTGACCATTAGTAACTCAGATTCTTGTAGAGAGCTTAAGCTTTCAATAAATCTTTATGTTCATTTGAACTGCCTGAATCTCCTGATTTTCCAGTGCTTGACAAGTACCCCCTGTTCATATATTGCAGATCTACCAATATCTTTTAATGGTCTCTGTGGGAACAGCTGAGCTGGATAGGACTGGGGTTTTCAAGCAATGTTTGTAGTAGTCTCCATATGATGGAACATGCTTCCCTTCAAGATTAAATTGGCACCCTTGATTATAGCAGTAGCATTTAGACTTATATACTGTCCCACTCTCTGGGCAGTTTACAACGTCAGCATATTGCCCGCAACAAACTGGGTCCTCATTTTACCAACCTGAGAAGGATGGAAGGGTGAGGCGACCTTGAACTGGACAGAGTCAAACTCCTGGCAGTGGGCAGAATCAACCTGCAATACTGTATTCTACCCATTGTGCCACTGTGGCTCCAGTTGTTGGTTCTGGAAATTGTAGAAAATGGTCAACATTATACTTGCTACTTTATATTAGTGGTTATATGTTAACTCTAGAAACTGTTAGAATTGCTAAATCTGATGACATGTAAGCCGTTACTTATTATATTACAATATGTCTAGTATGAGTTCTAAGATGGCGGCGCCTGGATCGGCTGCGGCTGCATTGGCTCTCGAAGGTGAAAAGTTACAAGAGGGATATTAAGGGATATAGGCCACATGATCAGGAAGGTTTTAATGTGTTTGAGCAATGTGGTGGAACTAAGGTAACATACAACATAACGACTGACAATCTTTGTTGGCATGGCGAGTTTTTAGCTGTTTTGGAACTGTTGGTGAGACCGTTAAAAGTCATTGGTGTTGTTTGAAATTGTTTTGCTGGCAGCAAGATCTGACTGCTGGCCCAGCAAGAGATTCTATTGCAAATCAGGGCTGTTTCCAAAGGAGGCAGAGGAGGAGAGGTCGCAGGGCTTATGGAGCGAAGGAACTGGAACTGGATGAGGCTGTCGGCAGGCCCAGAGGATGGGAGAGAGGCTTTTGGAGGAGTTGGTGGCGGCGGCAGCATTCTCCAGGGGCGAAAAGGAGTGAGGCCTCTTTAAGGAAAAGGTGGAAGAGACAAGATTAGAAAAAGGAAAGGAGGCGAGGTTGTCGTGCAGGAATACAAGCTAATTTGAGGGATAATCCACATGGAGCTCCATTTCCATCTGTCCTGTTTGCCATCGTTCGCTCCCTAGAGACTAAAATGGAAGATCTGTAACTTGAGCTGGCCACGAACAAGGAGTGTATATCGGAGGTGGTGGCCCTTTGAGAGCTGTAGGCAAGGAAATTTCATTTTGATGTATGCCGATTGGTGTACTTTCAAGGTGACAATAAAGTAGTAGTAGTAGTAGTAGTAGTAGTAGTAGTAGTAGTAGTAGTAGTAGTAGTAGTTGTTGTTATTATGGATCATCGCACAGTCAGCCAGATGTTCAGACTGGATTTGGCATTTTGTCTACCGATCGAGTCCTTACCCAGGACCTGGGATAGGCAGATGTGGATGTTTGATGGTATTACAGATATTGTCACAGGATGGAAGCAGTTCCTAATAAGGCCACCTTTTGCAATTGACTAATAGCGAATTTGTCAATGCCAATGGTGTTCAAGTGGTGCTCCAGTTGTTTTGGGATTGCATCCAAGGAGCCTATTACTATTGGTACTACCCTTGCTTGCTTTTGCCACAGTCTTTCTATTTCTATTTGAATGTCTTTATATTTTGTTATCTTCTCCAGTTCTTTCTTGTCTATTCTGCTGTCTCCAGGCACTGCCACGTCCACTATCCAGACTTTTTTGTCCTTCTTATCGACAATTGTTAAGTCTGGAGTGTTATGTTGCAGATGCTTGTCTGTTTGAATTCTGAAGTCCCAAAGCAGTTTAATTTTATCATTTTCTATGACTTTCTCTATTTTATGATCCCACCAGTTTTTGCTTACAGGCAAATGATATTTTTTGCAGATCTTCCAATGCACCATTGTTTCTACTTTGTCATGCCGCTGCTTGTAGTCAGTTATTTATTATTATTATTATTATTATTATTATTATTATTATTATTATTATTATTATTATTATTAGTCCTTTGGCTTGTATCAGGCATAACACATTTCTTTCAAGTTTATAGTTATTTTATACAGAAGATATTGAAGTGTGTTGTGATTAAAATGTCTTTTTGTCACCTCTAGGTTTGTATGCAGCTTGGTTTATTATGGTCTTACTCTCAACGTGGGTGATCTGGGTGGCAGTATCTATGTTAATTTGGCTCTTTCTGGTCTAATAGAGATTCCTGCATATCCACTCTGTGTCTATATGATAAGCCAGAAATGGTGAGTTTTCAATAGATGTTACATATATGTCAGATTATGCAGGCATTTGCTTTAGGACAGATCAAGAACGTGAGTCCATGGGATCATATGTAAGCATCTCTATACATTCAGTTTATGCATTTAGCATGAAAGAAAGATTTTTATTTATAATGAGATGGGCCGAGTACATTCCATTGACTGTACTTCCCCTCTATCCCTTTTTGGAGATTGCACCAACTGAAGATTCCATCACCAAATAGTGGCATGGCTTTCCTTTTTGAAAAGAAATGAGCAGGAAAACACACATTCTCCAGTTCAGTACAAGTAGTCCTCAACTTACGACTGTAGTTGGGCCTAAAATTTCTATAAGATAGTTATTAAGTGAGTTTGTTGTTAAGTGGTTTCCCCATTGACTTTGCTTGTCAGAAGGTCACAAGAGGTGATGGTATGACACTGGGACATTTCAACTGTCATAAATATGAGCCAATTGCCAAGTGTCCGAATTTTGATTATATGATCATGGGGATGCTGTGATGCTTGTAAGTGTGAAAAATGGTCATAAGTCACTTTTTCAGTGCTGTTGTAATTTTGAACAGTCACTAAATGAATGATTGTAAGTTAAGGACTACCTGTACTGTATGTGCTTGTGTATGAATATATGCACATGCTTATCAAAAAAATAAAAATCTTGAATAGTGCAAAATTCTAGACCCATATTTTCTTCATCATTTAATTGTACTTTGTAACTTTTGGCAACGGGAATAAAAGGACAGGGAAAATTAATGAACTGGTATTCCAGTTTTAAAGCCTAATCAATGCAAAAGACTATAAAAGAGTTCCTATCCTATTTTAATGATATTTCTATACACGGTAAAATAGAAAGGTCTGTAAAATACATTTTATTTTACAAGAAAATGAAGAATCATTGTGAGAACTGCAAATGCATTATTATCTGGAACATTTCTGCAATTCACTGTGGTGATTGGTAGAAATCAGCACAGGTATGCCAAGAGCAATAGGTCCTCAAATTCCTCATCTCATGGCATCATGATATAATACTGCTTTAGACAGCATGGTGTAACATGTGTGGCTGAAAGATAGTAAAATATAAAAGATCCAGCAGGATTGCAGTCACGTGGATGTAAAGTTGGTGTGAAATCTTTCTGAATATATTACCTCATTTTAGAAGAGTATCTGAGTTGCTAACTGAAACCTAAGTTAGTAAAATGTACTAATTTATCAACAATTTTATTAGTTTATCAGTATTATTCTGAACTTTGGTATTTATAAAGAATATTAAAATTTAAATCCAGGGAGACTTCAGTTGTTTTCAGCTATTTTTGAGGTGCATCTCATTCATGTTTTTGGGCTTGTTTTGAGAACAGCTGCCATTTAAAAAGCAAGAGAAAGATACTACATGAATATATACCACTAGACCTTCTTAGAGCTATAGCTGCCTAGGGTATATATTTATGAGAGTTACTATTGGATAGTAGTTAAGATGTTGGAACAGGAGCAAGGCCATCACTCTCAGCCACAGAAGCTTGCCAAATGGCTTTGGGCCAGTCATTCTCACTGGGTTCTTCTGGGGCAATAGGAGGTGGCAGCACTCTATATACCACTTTAAGTTGTACAAACTAAAGATGGGATAAATAAAGATGGGATAGATATTAAATAAACATGTACACCATCCAGAGGTTCTTTTACAAAAAAGACAGGATAAAAATCAAATACATTTGTTAATTTCTCCTCATGTTGCCTTCCCCCCCCCCCCCCGCTTCCTTCTGATTATTAGGTTTGGCCGCAAACGGACACTTGCTGCATTTTTGTTTCTAGGGGGACTGGCCTCTCTTCTTGTCATGTTCCTTCCACAACAGAAAGGTAAAAAGATTTATTAATTATAGAAATTAGAGATAATCAAATGTGGAGCTGGTCCCACCATATACCTCTGTAAAAGTGTTCTGGTTATCCCTGAACCATGAACCTCATAATAGCCTGGAAACATAGGACAGGCAGCATTTATAATTCCTTTTCTCCAGGAAAATACTTCCTAACCTTGCCAGAGTTGGGAGGCTGTCAGCCTAGACTAATCTAACAAGATGGACAGGTAGTCCTGGGTTTACGATGGGGACTACCAGGATGGCTGCTGTTACGCAATGGGGTTGTAAAGTGTGATGTCATATGATTGCATTGCTTAATAATAACAATTCCACACTCCCCATTGCTCTCATCACCCTAGAACTGTACAGGTCATTAAATGGGAAGAGGTGGGAGTACCATGTAAGGAGTACGGCGGAGGGATGGTTGGGGCTATAGGTGTTGCATGGTTGGTGCTGCTAAGAAGACACACAGGCCAGCAAGGGCAGCACATGGTCTCAGAGAAGTCAAGGAGGCAAGGGGGTACACGGGGGTATGAGATCTTGTACTCTGTAGTGGGGCTTCTCTGGAGGAAAAGTGATGGAAGCAACTTATGGGAATGATTTGCTGCTTTCCCTGCCAACTTCCACATTGACTTTGCTTGGAAGTCATTCGGAAGGTTGCAAATGGTGATCACGTGGCCATAATCATTGCAAATATCCTTTGTTCAGCACTGTCATAAATTTGAATAGTTGCTGATCATAAGTCAAGGACTAGCTAATTAACTTTTTCTGATATTTTATGTTTATGTATATTATGTATATTATAAGCACAGAGCGCAATCGGAGCGGGCAGCAGGGGGCTTCCCGTTTTCATACACAGAGTAGCGGCAGGGGATATGAAAACAGGAAGCCCAGGGTGCCCCCACCATCTAACCTGGTGCGCTCTGCCCACATACTCGCTTGCCTGCTTGCCCGGCTCTCCCTCCAGCTGCTCACTACAAGTTGTCCCCGCAGTGAATTAGTCATGTGGAGTTATCTTATGGTGCGTTGGCTGTGGTGAGCTGGCAGTGGTGAGGGGGCCATGGCAAGTTATCCCATTCCAATTCAAAAATAGTTTAACAAGCATACCATGATTTACATAATGCAGAATATCTGCCTCCTAGTACAATGTGTGACATGCCTCCAGATGTTAAATATTGTTGACAGATGTATTAGGGGAGGATGTACATTGCAGTGGGAGGGAGATTCTTGCATCATACAGCTGGGTAAAGGATACCACCTGCCTAATTTATTTGCTCTTTAGGCTCCTTCCCTCCTTCTGTCATTTTTCCAATCTGTAAATCAGCTGATGGTGCTCAGAAAAATGGCCAGTTAAGGGTGGGAAGCAACTCTTTCAAAGCATCTAGATCAGGGGTGTCAAACCGCTGGCCCGCAGGTCGGTTGATCATGCTGAGGCTGCGCCCACCTCAGCTCTGGCAATGCAAAAAAAGTCACAATATGTCACAACACGTCACATGATGCATTGAGTTTGACACTCGTGATCTAGATACATGTGTCAGGGTTCCGATAGATGAGACCAGTAAAAGCAGAACTCCCAGGCAAAAGATTTCCCCAAAGAACATCTTTATTTGGCTACATAGTATCGGCACAATCAAAAGTGAAACCAAGACTGAAGTTCCCTCCCAAAGGTTACAAAATTGCAAAGTTGAACTTCCTACCCCAGTAATATGTCATAAATCACATACCCCAATTAACTACTTTAGCAGGCTGTCTAACGGAAGCTTTAGCCCACCAAAATGCAAGCAGCATTTTGTGGTTCCCACAGAACAATTTATTGTTTGACTAAGCTGAAAAATACTCATCCCCCCTCCCAACTCTGTGGCAACCAAAAACAAGTGGAAATGGCTTCAGCCAAATTTGTTTGCAATGTTGACAACATGGTCTTATGAAGATGAGAGAGTTGAGGATTTGAAAGAACCCCCAGTTCTCCTGCCTCCTCTCCCACCCTGAGAACCAGCTAATACGTCTATATAACATCTGATTTACCCTACTGAATTCAGTACTAAACTCAAGAATTCAGATTTAAGGGGCTGATGCTCATGATGGTGACTCTTATGTGGTTTCTGGGAGCTTTGTATGGTTCACTGTTTGAATCTTACAGACTTCTGTTTCAGGAGTGCTTCTCTGCTTTCTGTAAGCTTGGCAGAATATAGTGAACCAGTTTTCTTAGGTTTCATTTACTTTGAATAATTTAGTGCATAGCCAAAACTTTTATTTTGTCTTTTGCTTTTGAATGGATATAAGGCTGTAATTAAAATGGCTGTCATTTTCATGTAGAAATAACAAAGGGGGAGGCAAATGGGAGTGATAGTATTATTACTACAATAAGTTAAGCTTGTAAATGAAAACATGCTCTAATGATATCCAAATCTGAGTTTGTTTCTCAGAGTGAAAAACATTTGCTATTCCTATAATACAGTGGTTCTCAACCTTTTTAATGCCGCGACCCCCAACTGGTCGTAAGTCGAGGACTACTCAACCGGTCGTAAGTCGAGGACTACTCAACTGGTGCAGCACCGTTTGCAGAATGGGACTTTTGGCGGGCTCAGCAGGGCAGAGACAGCCTGGACAATTCCTATTGGCTTTTGAAAGCCAATAGAATTAGACTCTATTCAAGAGAGTCTATTCTATTGGCTTTCAAAAGCCAATAGAATAAAAGGGAGTAGCACAGCTAAGGAAAAGGGGGAAAAAATAGTGGACTGCGTTGTTTGGCGACCCCCGTGAAATGGTCGGTCGACCCCAAATGGGGTCCCGACCCACAGGTTGAGAACCACTGCTATAATAGAAAAAGACCATTTCCCCTTCTGATTACTGAAATTTGATCTTGCTATATGGGATCTTCATTGTTCCCTTGCAGCGTATATTTTAAAAACATGCTGTTATAAAAAAAGTGGATTATTACAAAGTTTAAATATTATAAAACATTTTTCTTGATAAACAATTTTTTTAATAAGGTCATATGATTTTATTTAGTTCTGTCTTTCAGTGGTAGCCTACCACATAAATACTTTCTCAGCAGAGATTGGGGACCTGCAGTGGGAGTACTTTGCGTAGAAACTGCCTGGAGAGATGAAGGGCAGTACCTATGTTCGATAGATAAATAAACCAATTTTGGGATAAAGAGAATTCTAAAAGTTATCCTTCTTTGCTCCAACAGCTGCAGGAGTGTTTGTGATTGTGAACAGCCGTTCTTTGTCTTTACTTGGAAAACTGACTATCAGTTCAGCCTTTAACATTGTATATATCTACACATCAGAACTCTATCCTACCGTTATCAGGTAAGACAAGTTCAGTTTGTAGTGACTTAATGCAACTCTATGTCATCACTTATCCATTCTGTTTTTGTGGCGGTAGAACACCATTCTTAGATTCTCTCATTCAGCAGAGGGGCAGCAAATCAGCAAGATCAGAGTTCTTGCTCATTAGAATTTGAGCTCTATCTAAAATATAATGTTTAACCGGTTGGACTAGAGGCAAGGAGAGCCAGGTTCGAATCTGACCTTAGTCAGAAAAGCTCATTGGCATTTTGTCAGTCATTCTCTCTTAAGCCTACCTATCTAGCAGAATTCTTGTTGTGGAGAAAAATAGGAGGAAGTGGAATGCATGCTGCCTTGAGCTCCTGAATAAAATATGCAAACCTAAACTAAAAAGCCTTGTTTAGACAAAGCATGTAGATCATATAGAAAATGTTATCTTTAAAAACTGGATGTATAGCTTTTGTATTAATGCAGGGTTTTCAGAGTTGATATAAAAACACTTCAGTAGCTGTTTAACACTTGGTCCAAATGCAGACAATGAAAATATTGAAACAAAACATAGTCAACATAATTAAGAATGTCACTGTTATTCTGTTATACATTTAGCAGACAAAATAAGAGATTAGGGCTTTGCATGTTTCAGAAATGATTTGGAACAAATGTTTTGGAACTTGCTTGAGTGCAAGTTCTTCTTGGCTGCAAATTAAAGCAACCACTTCTATGCAAGCCTAAAAGAAAATATGTGCCTGTTTTAATAAGGTTACCAATATATGCTAAAATTAATGGCGGAATATTGTTATATAATGGGAGTTCAGAAGCATTTCTTTTGAACATGGTCTATTTTTAAAATATTCATAGTATAATAAATATTTCAGCTAGTAAAAATATTAATATTAGAGCATTTCCAGTTGGCCAGTTTGTGGGATGAGCCCATCTAGAATTAAAAGGCTTTGAATGAAATATGCTACTGTATGGTCAGGCTCATTTATTTTATTTTGAACATTTATTGTGCTTCAATTTTTGGGGGTTCTTTTTTTAATATAACCATTTTTAGCCATCTTGAGAATTGGGCAGCTCTATAAATCAAATAAAAAGGAATGTGTTGGTTTTGGAGGGATTTGAATTTAGAGTTGGATTGAATATCTCTTTAAAAAAATTAATGTGGAAATAAAAGTTATTAATCAACTATAAAAATAGTGAAAAGAAAACAAAAAAGACAGTGAAATAGGTATATATAAAACAAAATACTTTATGTTCTTAAACAGCAAATAAAATCTTTATCATATGCAGTGATACTGATGAGACCTTTCTTGCATTAATAAAAAACTAATTCATTTCTACAGAATAAATACATCTTCAAACCAAGACTTTAAATCAGGTGTAACTGTCTCTCACCAAGCTAAGACAGTACCTTTAGCTATAGATCTTCATCTTTCTGAGACACCCATTTTTTGATACATAATTTGCCAGCATATGCACAGTTTAAAGCACTATTTTTCTTCCCAACACCATATTAACAATTTGCTGAATAAACCAAAACAGTACAATTGTAGCCCAAAACATGGGACTTCATGTTCCCTCCATAAAGTCTCCAATAAATCTATTGTTGAATTAATTGCATTGCACAATGATAAGATATTAATTTAACATTAATCAAAATTCTAGCTATTTAGTTTATTAAAACAAGATATTTTTGCTTTTTGCTTCAAGTTTCTTGCAGGTTTTCCATAACTATCTTTAATATGTACTGCTTTTCAGTTGTACCCAAAAATTAACCGTAAACTTGGGGATCTCCAAGATTTTGTTCGATATTCTAACTAATTGTTGACGTATCAGGCACAAACTGAGAAGTCAGAATATGTTTTAAATGGAATATGTTACTATTCACTAGGTTTGGACAATTGAAATAGTTTTTGGTACAAAAAGAGTAATCGTAGATAGTGTGTTAATTCCATTCTTTATCCAAGAATACCAGAGGCAGGATCTATCAGCAATTTTCAGCCTGGCACTATTCCAAAATGTCATTTTTTCATGAAAATTAGGATCAAATTTAAGTTTCCTTATCATTTTCCAGATCTTAAAGCCTGGAAAAAACCTGCAAGAAAAAAACTGACTTCTAACTAAAAAGGGAACTAAGTCCCCGCCAAGTAGTTAAGTAATAATTTATTGTGCTAACAGTTCACGTTCATGAAGAAATAGAGGTCAAAATACAAGCTCTGTGAACCAGCTGGCAATGAGGAAATTTGAAACCTCTATCTTTATGTAGAAAACTGAAAATCTGACCATTTCATGAAAAAAATTTTAGTATCTAATAATCTGTTTAAAATATTTAGTAGGTATTAACAATCAGAGTGTTTGAAGGCTAAATTGAAGTAACGTTGGGTCAAGGAATAAAATAAATTTTCAGACTAGAAAAAATGTTTCAAGTTTTCAAGCTTGGTTGCTTATTTTTTTATCTGAATTTATACAAGGCCAAAACAATCTTGCTTAGAATTAAATGTAAATAAAATTAAATAGGCCCAGTACTCTTCAATAACTTCATAAATTACTTATATGAAGGAATAGAAGGGTAACTCATCCAATTTGCAGGTGACACTAAACTGGCAGGAATAGCCACCCAGAAGACAAGCTCAGGATCCAAAAAGATCTTGACAAAGTTGAACAATGGGCCTTACCCAACAACATGAAATTTAATATGGGAAAAAGCAAGATTTTACACTTAGGCAAGAAAAACCAAAGGTACAAGTACAGATTAGGTGAAACCTTGCTCAAAAACAGTCCTAGTAGAAGATCACTTAAATATGAGTTAGCAGTGTGCAGCGGGCAGCCAAAAAAAGCTAATACAATCCTTGTTTGTATAAACAGAGTTATAAAATCAAAATCATATGATGTATTAGTATCACTTTATAAAACCTTAGTAAGACCACACCTAGAATACTGCATCCAGTTGTGGTCACCACATTACAAAAAAGATGTTGAGACTTTGGAAAAAGAGCAACTAAGATGATTAAAGGCCAGGATACTAAAACATATTGAGAACAGTTGCAGGATTTGGGTTTGGCTAGTCTATAGAAAAGAAGGACTAGGGGTGATATGATAGCAGCAATCCAGTATTTGAGGGGCTACCAGAAAGAAGAGGGGGTCAACTTATTCTCCAAAGCACCAGAGGGCAGGACAAGAAACAATGGACGTAAACAAATCAAGGAGAGAAGCAACCTGGAACTAAGGAGAAACTTCCTAACAGTGAGGACAATTAACCAGTGGAACAGCTTGCCTTCAGAAGTCATGGGTGCTTCAGTACTGGAGGTTTTTAAGAAAAGACTGGACAGCCACTTGTCTGAAATGATGTAGGGCAGAGGGAGGGGGAGGCATTTTACACGCGTGTGCACAAGCAGGGCCACGAGGACACACATGACACAAATGGGGCGGGGCGAGTGCTTGTGTGATACACGCTAGCCCTGCCCTGTTCTTGCGTGGCACAGCACCCCATTTCTGCGCCCCGCAGCGCAGCGGCATCCCATTTTTGTGCCCCAAGGCGTGGCAACATCACATTTTCGCACCCCACAGTGTGGCGGTGTCTCATTTTCGCATCCCATGGTGTGGCTTCCTGTTTTCAGCCCCACGGCCGTGGCGCTACCAGAAGTGGTGTGTGTGTGTATGTGTATGTGCATGCACACGCCCGTGCACTGGCCAGCCTGTCCCGTGGCCCAGTAGCCAGCAGGCCACAACCCACTACCGGGCCACGGCCCACAGGTTGGGGACCCCTGGTGTAGGGTTTCCTCCTTGAGCAGGGGGTTGGACTAGAAGACCTCCAAGGTCCCTTCCAGTTCTATTCTGAATTGAATTGAAATGTTGTTGACATTATTGTTGGTTGAATATTTTTTTCCCTTTCTCTCAATGGCTTTCAAAGCTTTGTTTAGCTCTGGGATTTCCAATGGTACAATTATCATAAATGTTTAAAATAATTATAATTAAAATATATAATTTTAAAATATAAAAAATTATATTACAATTATTTTAAACTTCTAACAATTCTTAGATCTCTTGGAATTTAGAAGTATAACTCCAATCCTAATTTGGAAAAGACTTTCACATGAATATCATTGTGTTTTACTTCCCTAAAGGAATGTTGGAATGGGAACCTGTTCTATGTTTTCTCGAGTTGGTGGAATTATTGCTCCTTTTGTCCCATCTCTGGTATGATTGAACTATTTTCTATTCCCTTCATGCTCATTATACCTCCAAATGGGATTAGCAAAAATGTGTAGATTTATTTAAATTGTTTCTTTGCAATAGAAACGGTGCTGTTATGGTATTGTATTTTAGAGGCAAATTTTGTGATAAGGGCTGCATCCACACAATCAGCTTGTCCTGCCTCAGAGAGGTAACCCCACTTGCTTAGAACATGCCCTCTAAATGGACTCTCATTGCCAGCCCACTGCTGAGACATTTAAAGACAATTCAAGGTGATATTGCAAGAAAGTGGTGTTTTCCATGGGAAAATGGAAGACAAGCTACATTGTCTATTAGAGGCTTCGGTCTACTGGAACTTTTGGACTACAATTTGCCCATTGCAAGTCTGCCTCCTATCATTTGATTGCTGGCCTCTGTTTTCATTGCAATAGTACTGCGGAGTTTCAGAAAGAAACTCCCTTCCACAGAGTTTGGAAATAGCGTTTCTTTCTTTATTCTTCTGACCCAGGAGGGAGCCAGTAACTAGAATATGAAAGCAACATCTAATGAAGCAGTAGGTTGCAGTATTATCCTTTAGGACAAAGTTCTTGCCTTTTCTCACAGAGGGATCAGCATGGTTATTTCCAGTGCATGTCAGAATCCAATTATATTTCATCTTTAGTTATCAAATATAGAAAACCCCAATTCTGCCTTCTCTGGATTCTGCCATAAGAGGGAGAGAAGGGGGAGAACAAAGGGGCTTTATGGCCCTCACTTCCTTCAGTTTACTTCTAAGGAGCTGAATGTGTGTATTGCAACTTCAAAGAGTTTGAATGTGGTTAGCACCAAAAGGCCTCATCATAACAAAGGAGGCTATTTACCTTTCATGTAGTTTATCGGAAGTCTCCATCCAGATGGAAGAAAGGAGAAAAGGGGGTGGGATTGTGATGCCTGAACTGTCACTGGAAGAGGGGGGTGATTGGGTGGGACTACTGGGGAACCCCTTAAAACCTCGAATGGGAGAGCTTGAACCCCAAGTCCTGTCTAGAACACCTGCAACCATTTTCTCTTAAAGGATTCCTGTTGGAAGAATTATTCCAAGAGTTCTGTCTTCTTAAGATGCAAAGTGGGGTGGGTCCTTACATTGCATTCATTTTTCAGGGTAACTTGTCTGACATATTAAGATGCTCTAAGCTCAGATTGCTTGAATGATGGAGGTGAAAAACATTCTTAACCATTCTTGGTGTGATTGCTGCATCAATTTGGACATAGAGGATCTGATTATAAACACAGGTTGTAACTGGGACACTCTTGCACATTGGGTCGGCACTTAGCCCTTCACCACAATTCCCCTTGTATCCTCCTGCTAATGAATAGGAAAAGCTATTCATTATGCTGCACCATCTACTTTATTCCAGCGAAAATACTCTCTAGAGTATTTACTCAAATAGAAAGTAGTAAACTTCCTATCTTCTTTGTGGTCTAAACACATACCTGGGTAAATGATAGAGGCAAATTCTCTGTCAGAATGAAAGCACTGATTTTATTAAAAAGTCAAGCTTTTTATTATGTTTATCACCATTACCGAAACAGATGGGATCTGAAAAAGAAGACAGCTGTGACTTCTACAGTTTATCCAGCTGATGCTTTTCCAGTCAGAAATACACACACAGAGAGAGAGACAACCACGATAGAATAAAATAAGGATGGGAAGGTTACCAAAGGACTTAGATCATTTCCTAGAGTCAAAATGCTAATTTCAATCTAGTTTTCATCAGCCACTATATGTTTCCACTTCTTCTCTGTCTAGTATAGCTTTGTATATTTATCTGTGCTTGCATAATTTTCACAGAATCACAGGCCAGACGGAACCTTAGAAATCTTTTAGTCCAACCCCTTGCCCAAGGCAGTTGACCTTATCATCCTGGCAAATAGTTGTCCAATCTTTTGTTGAAAAACTCCAGTGATGGAATACCCACAACTCCAGGAGGCAAGCTGTTCCACTGGTTAATTGTTCTCACTATCAGGAAGATTCTCCTTAGTTCTAGTTTAGATCTCTCTTTAATGAGCTTCCATGCATTACTTCTTGTCCTGCCTTCAGGTATTTTGGAGAATAAGTTGACCCCTTCTTTTCTGTGACCGCCCCTCTAGTACAGGAAGATCTGTACTATCATGTCTATCATGTCACCCTTCTTTTCATTAGAGATACCTAGTTCCCTTAATCATTCATCATATGGTCTAGCCTCCAGACCCCTTATAATACTGTATCTGTTCCTCTTTTCTTCATTCTTTCTTAGGGTCTCAGCATTGTTTAAGGATTACCTAGATCCCTCTCACAGGTACTATTATTGAGCCAAGTACTCCCTATTCTGTATCTGTGTATCTGGTTTTCTTGCCTAAGTGCAAGACCTTACTTTTCTCACCATTGAACTGCATCTTGTTGCATCTTCTAAAGTGTTGGCAGTTCCCCCCACCTTGGTGTCATCTGCAAATTTGATAGGTGCCCCTTCTATGCCCTTATCTAGATCATTTATGAAAATGTTGAAGAACACTGGGCCTAAGACAGAACTTTGAGGCACCTCACTGCATGCTTCCTCCATGTAGTTATAGTTGCCTTCAGACAGCTTGCCTTCAGACGTTGTGGGTGCTTCATCACTCGAGGTTTTTAAGAAGAGTCACTTTATCAAAAAAAGGCAGTAAAGTTTGTTTGGCATGATATCTTTTTAACAAACCCATGCTTCTAGTGATCGTCTTGTTCATTTTGTAGGTGCTCACAAATCTATTGCTTATCTCTTTCAGGATTTTTCCAGGTATTGATCATTTCCTAGATTCACTTTTTTTCCCATTCTTGAAGATTGGAATCAGTTTCAGCTCTTTTCCAGGCTTGTTACTTCCACAGTGCTCTGGGATCTTTGAAAGATTTGGTTCAGTGGTTCCAAGATCCCATCTACCAGCTCCTTCAGAACTCTGGGATATAAACCATCTGGTCCTGGTGATTTGGACTTTTTTAGAGTAGATAGGTGTTCTCTTCCAATTTCTTACCTATTTTGACCTGCATTCCTGTTCTGTCTCTGACTCTGTTGTTGTTGATAGATTGGGCTGTTTTTCCATAAAAGTAAAGAAGGAATTAAGCAGTTGTGCTTTTTCCTTGCTGCCCATTACCTTTTTGCCATCTTCTCCCATTAGTGGACTGATAATTTCTTAATGTAAGGACCCACCCCACTTTGCATCTTAAGACGACAGAACTCTTGGAATAGTTCTTCCAACAGGCATCCTTTATTAAGAAAAAATGGTTGCAGGCGTTCTAGACAGGACTTGGAGTTCAAGCTCTCCTATTCAAGGTTTTAAAGGGTTCCCCAGTAGCCCCACCCAATCACCCCTTCTTCCAGCGACAGTCTCAGGCATTACACTCCCACCCCCTTTTCCTTACTGCCGGCTGGAGGGAGACTTCAGAAAGGAGTACATGAAAGGTAACAGCTCCATTCTTATGGTTAGCTCTTTTGGCAATACACACAATCAGTTCCTTTGAAGTGTACCGAAGGAAGTGAGTGCCATAAAGCCCCTTTGTTCACCCCCTTCCCTTCATCGTATGGCAGAATCCATAGAAGGCAGAAATGGGGTTTTTTATAATTGATAACTAGAGATGAAATATAATTGGATTCTGACATCCTGCCCCTTAAAATAATTTCATCCACCTGAAAGAAAATAAAATAGGTATAAAAGTTAGTCAGGCTTGTTAGGATATTCTGTGTGAAACTTCTTTAATAGCTTCGGGGCTCTGACATGACGTTTATGGACCCACTCGTTTTGTGAGGCAGGGAGGTGTTTCCAGGCAACTAGGTACTGAGTCGCTCCATGATATCTCCTAGAGTCAAGGATTTCCTTTGTTTTGAAGTGTTGTTCGCCCTCCACCATGATTGGAGGTGGGGGGGGGATTTTTGGCTGTAAAGGTGACTGACGCTCTCTTTTCAGCAAGCTGCAATGAAAAATTGGGTGTATTTGCCTGAGATTTTTGGGTAATTCTAATTCTACTGTTACTGGGTTTATGATTCTTTTAATTGGAAAAGGCCCTATATATTTTGGTCCAAGTTTTTTACAGGGCTGTAAGGACTTTAGATATTTTGTAGATAAGTACACCATTTCTTCTATAATGAATGGTATAGGCTCAACCCTTTTTTTAATCGGCTTGTGCTTTGTATGCCTGCCTAGCTTCATCTAGTGCTTTTCTAACTATTGGCCAGGTGTTTTGTAGTTTTTCCATCCATTCTTTCAGTGATGGGATCGTTGGTTCGTTTGGGGTTAATTCTGGCATGAGGTTGAAACTTTGACCGGTGGCTATTTGAAAAGGAGTGTAATCTGTGCTGGAGTGGACTGCATTATTGTAGGCAACATCTGCAAAAGGGAGTAAGACCGCCCACCCGGTCTGTTGGAAATTAAGAAAATATCTTAGATATTGCTCAAGTACTGAGTTCATTTTTTCAGCCCTCCCATTCCCCTGTGGGTGGTGGCTAGATGTCAGTCCCTGAGTGGTTCCTAAAGAGATAAAAATTCCTTCCAAAATGCAGACATAAATTGCACTCCCCTATCAGAGATGATGCGTTGGGGTGCCCCGTGCAATCTGTAAATGTGCTGGATGAAAAGTTTCGCTAAGGCTTTTGCGGTGGGAATCTTTTGGCAAGGGATAAAATGCACCTGTTTGGAAAACAAGTCCGTGACTGTCCAGACAACAGTATTATTGCTTTCTGGCAATTCCACTATAAAATCCATGGCTATTTCCCTCCAGGGGGCTGAGGGATTTGCCACTGTTTGTAATATTCCTGGAGATTTCCCTTGCAACCTCTTTGCAGTAGCACATTTTGGGCAGCTGGCTACGTAGCTTTCTATGTCCTTTTTTATGGATGGCCACCAAAATTGCCGTTTAATTAAGTGTAAAGTTTTTACAAATCCAAAATGCCCTGCTGATTTTGTGTCATGGCAAAGTTGCACGAATGTGACTCTTTGGGTTCTTGGTATATATAACTTTT